GCAATGGACCAATGCAGGCTTCACTTTCCGTGATTTGAAAAATGAGTTCTGATCCGAGCAGCCTTCCAGTCCTGCAAATGAGACGATGCTTCTTCGTTTTCCTCTTAAATTACGTACGTAAAGCAAACACATTGCTTTGTAGTGAATTTACGGCTGCTGTCGTTTTTCTGTGGTTGTTATTCCGGCTGATTTATTTCCGCTCATTGGCGAACGAGCACCGAACCTAATTAGCGTCTTTAGATTTCTCCACAAGTTCATTTTGAGTTTCAAGTTCGGACAAGAGTACCAAAATACCTCGTTTTCAGCATAGGTGAATGACAGAAATAACCATTTTCTGCCTCCTTCGAACTATTGTTTGTGAACGACGCCAGCATTAAAGCAGGAGGACTCAGAATGAATGTGAAAAAGACTACGTCATGTTTAAAAGATACGTGATTCCGAGATCTGTTGAAATCAATTGAGCTTCAAGAGGTGAGAACTGCGTCTATATGGAATGACTCATCTGCGCAACTGACTACTGACTATGTGAAATTAGCAGATGAATAAAAATAGCGTGGGATACATTTGGAAGACTGAGAAACTGCCTCTGACTTGAAACGGAAGTTTTCGGTCAGCGTTTACTCCCAGGGTTGATCTAGGGGTGCAGATCGTGGACCTTAACTATGAAAGCTGTTCACAAACTTCGGGCAACGCAGAGCTGCATAATAAAAGTATGTTAAGGGCAAATAAATGGGTAAGAGCAGAAATGAAATTGCGATGTCATGGTCCGAGTAAATAAGTCAGAGTGGAGAAGGGCAGCGTACGCTGCAAGAAGAACGGACCATCGTTGAACCAAAGAGACATCAGGTTAGGTCAAGAGGCATTGATTAAACCATCCCCGGGAAGGCTTCCAGATGGAAGAAAAGTTTGTTGGATAAAGATGGATAAATATCGCCAAGAACAAATGTTTACCTCAAATTCTTGGAGAAGCCTTCATCCATAAGCAAATCGAAAAAGGCTCATGAAGCCAATTATGACGCGTATACACCGTTACATCGTGCGTACCGTAGTCTGTAGACAAAAGTGCGTTTGAAAGAAGAAATTAATAACTTAATCGCAAGCAAAAGTGTAACTGACCTGATGAATGTCAGTGATATCTTAAAAACAAAGTACATACGCCAGTTGTTCAGCCATGAACGAGGTTCCCTGGTTAGTGGACTGCAATCGATAAGTAAAGTGCAGTAGAGGCGTCAAAAACCTGCGTTTCGCCGATTGACCCTGAACATCATTGGAAGGTGATGATCTGTTCGACTTCAGGCCATGAAAATGACCCGTATCAACAGGGGGTGCGACGTGGCTATGACTTATGCTCGGCTTCGTTCGGTTTTTAAAACATGCCGGTTTAACGCCCCCCCCCCCACCTTCACGCCTGTCCTTCACGTCGCAATGCCCCGATCAGTCTTTTGTGCATTTTTGTGATAGACTTTAAAAGATTTTAAGTTGTCGCAGCCTCTGGTATCGCTATTACATTGTCTGCGAAGTTTAGTGGTCGGATTCCCTGATCGTTCCGCTCCAACCTGTATAGATGAGGGTTCACTGTCGGTAGAAGCGCCTGGTGGCATTTCGCCTTGTATCCGGAAAGAACCGGTGTTAAGCATTGTACGAACCTAACTGAGAGTAGTCACAGTTGCTAGGTTGCACTGTTGTGCGGTTGGGCCATTTCAGGTAGCCTTGCATTATGAATAATTACTGGGTCGATCGGTTTCTTAACGGAACCCAAAGAAGGGGGATTTTGCTTTTTTCAGGGTTAGAAATGCTCAAAAAGCGGTACACATTTTAAAGTAATGAATTCGCAGAAACATTTCTTGAACAAAGGCTGCAGATCGCTTTTGAATTTAGTCGCGGCGAGGTACTACTTGAGGATATTGATAGTGGTTGGCACTCGGATCGTCAAGGTGAAGAGCAGCTCGATTTCGAGCACTGTTTACGGCGTGTTCAACTACTGTCGTTCATTCCGTATTCCATTCCAAATGCTGAACAGCTGCTGTCTGAAGTTCGAGATCGTCGGCATTCGGCAGGACGACAGCGAAGAGGTCTGGGGACGCGTCATCGTCGGATCGTGCCGGTACACGGTTGGCAAGGGCGTCGAGCATTGGATGCAGATGTCCGCCAGCGAAGGCAGAACCGTTGAAATGTGGCACGACATACTGTCACCCAAATAACCAACCAGCCGATCGGATAACTGATTTTCGTGTTCACTTTTCGTTCACTGACTTTTATGCTGATTTTCGTGCACTGATATGTAAAGATAAATATTTACCAAATTAAACGCGGTGAATATTGTAGGGTCGGTTTGCGAAGTTAGTGTCTCTGTCACAATTAGCTTCGCATAAGGGGACTGTAAATAATAAATTTTCAGAAACTGACACCCCCCCCCAACAGTAGTTCTCCCCAATTAGCATCGGTAGCGATTTAACGTGAAATTGAAGAGCCCTCGGTGTGTATCATGAAGTAGCGTCTTGACAGCCTGGAATACCGTTGCGTCGTAAGCATTGCAGACGTATGATTGTTCTGCAGATTCAGAAACGATCATCTGCAGAATAGTATCGGTCTAGGAAAACTGTGATAAAGAAATTAACAGATCAGTGCTTGAATTGACTTGACCCATCATACCAAAAAACTTTTGGGCACAGACCAGTTGAAGAACAATGCAGAAACATGGAAACACCTAACGGCGGCACATCTGTTTGCGAGGAGGAAAATAACCTCTTTTGACGCAGCGAACGATGCCCATATTAATCTTAAATCTTTTTAACGGTTAGACATCGTAAATCTGGGCAATTCTGCTGTTCAAGCTTTGTAAGCCTCAGACGACGATGACAACACTACTTTAACGCCTCTCATTTAAGTGGTACAACCCTGTCGCGTTCCTCTATTCTTGAGGTGATCTTCAGCATTAGTACAATCATACAAAAATTATGTGGAGTAATTTCTATCTTCATCAAGATTGCTATATTACATGTGTATAGACAGTCATTGTAAAATATGCATGAAAATTGAGTACATCGTAGAATCATAATAAGCAATGCATATAAATTCCGGATGCGAAACTGTTGCGAATGGAGAATACAATGAAAGAAGGCAAAACAACGTTGGAATGGATAGTCCGCTGGCATTTGTGTAGTCGAGCGAACTTAACCAAGACATGGTGGAAAAAGACTGAACAAATATAATTACTCCGTAACTTACGAATGAGCCGTGAGAAAGAAATAAAGGCTCATCATTTGTATGTTCGGTACACAAAGCGAAAGGGTGGCCAATATTACTGATAATACATGACCTGAGTCTAATAATCAATGCAAATAATCTAGAGAAAAAAAACAAAAGTCATTTTTGTGATGAGGAACAGAGAAGAGACAATCTGCGCCCGCTAAAGTCAATTGATGAAGCAATCAAGATGGATGAACGTAGGTAACAAAATCAGGATTATGGAGGAAATATTGCGGCTCCATGGTCATTAATTCGACGTAAAATTATGTTCATGCATGGACCAGTAGGTAGGTAGAGAAGTCGGTTATTCGCTTCCTCTATTTTACCGATAATCGATCTGGTGTACTTTAGATTTTGGACGTCTCGATCTGGTATTCATCTCAAAGTATTTCTTGTACATTTTTGTATGCCTACTTTGCTGCAATTTATTGTTTCTTTGTTACATTTGGTTTAGCTTGTGTTTTTTCTGTTTTTGTTTTTATGCTTTTGTTTGTCGCTAAAGGTGTGGTACCGTATCCCTTGTTCATCAACAGATGATTGGCAGGTTGTGTTATTCGCGGTAAGACCGCTACAAAAATTTCTATATAGATTTTCACGAAAGTGTCTGAAACGGAACTGATGCGCGACGTTCGACAACGAAACGAGGCACAGTAGCTATATGTTCAGTGCAAATAGCATAGCTACTTATTCATTGTGTGCAACCATTCACTGTGATAATCGTGTCTTTTTGTATATGCTGAAAAAATGGAGTTCCTTAGTGACGCCATTCAGGGATAAACTTTCAAACTTCTTGTGCCACTCGTTGTGTGACTTAAATAGAAATAGGCAATGCAGAAGTCATTTTTCCTGATATATCTGTTCCTGTTTGTGAATGAGAACTTCCAGGGGTGAAAATGATCAACTGCACTTGAGCGATGACTGTGTGAAACGCCAAAAACTGTTCATACTGGAACTTATGGCGGAGAAACGGTAAATTTTAAATTATTAAAGCATGTTTACGCAATCGGTCACCGGAAATACTTGATGGTTGCGCCTTTAAGATCCGATGCCAATAGGAACATGAATGAATCTTCTATGGTAATAACTACGGCAGGCGACTATAATGTTACGGGTAAATTTTACGAAAAAGGGATTTATTATTTACTGTGTAACTGTTACCTTGGATAAATGGTATTTATCTTATAAACTGTTTGTGATGTGGCTGTAATGCATTGTATTTCTAATATATCTTCTCTATTGCTTGTCAGACGCTTAATCTGTATCAATGCATGCTGTAATATAGTTCATGTTCAAAGAAATCTTGACCTATGAAGCGACCCAAAGTGTTCGTGGTGAAATATACAATGTGCAGGTGTAAGTGACAAGCCTGCAGTCCAGTTTTATAGCGGTCTACTTTGTTTTGTGACGTTTATGTATGTTGTTTATTTTTAGATATTTTTTGCCGAACAGGATCCCAGATCGTCAGATGCGGCATCCTCGTAGGTTCGATTGGTGAGTCCGATTTGAAAAAGGCTTTTCTCTTAAGGTTGAACCAAACTAGAGCCTAGTGCAACCATCTGTCCGAATGTATCCATCGGTCATCCAGTAAGTCTGTGTATGGGTCGATTCGATTGGTCAGCCATTATGAAAGAAAATAGTACGGCGAATCAGAGTGTTTCGCTGCACGCTATTTTGGCTTAGTCGAACTTTCATCATCGTACTCGAAATATGAACATGCAGCGTCTGATCGCCCGTTCCTTATGAGATCAAATTTTCATGGCTTTTTCATGAAAGAAAGCAGGTATTCTGTTGTTTCTTTTCTTATGGTTTATAAATCTGCACAGACAATGCAGTTCTTCCTTTAGTCTCCATAGTGGCATTGCGTCCACGCAGTATGTAGCGAAACTAATTTGTTGTTCAGTCAGACAGCTAATGTGCGTATTTTACTGTATTACTGCCAAGGCTTTTAGCCTACCTACATCAAAGTTGTAACGTATACTCAAGCATGCTCGAGACA